AAAGGAGTGCACTGCCCTGGCACACACCGGCTAAGGTGCTGGATGTGTCTTTGGAACAGACGCCCTTATTTTACATTAAATGCCTATTTGTGAAATTGAGTTGTACCTTTTATCCCYTGGCAGGATGAAAGCCACTGAAGCAATGAGGGAGAGCAATTTGTACTGGGCCCCCCAAAACCTGTCTGGCAGAATCCCATTGGATTAAAAGGGAGGCAGCTGTCCATGGTACTAAGGAACACTAGAGGCTGGAACAAGAGTTGAAGCTATATAGTCCCTCCATAAGGGAATCAGTCCCAAATGGACCTCATCTCAGTTCACACAGGCTGCTAAGATAAAAAGAGAAGTACCCTTGGAGGTCAGTTGGCTTCCTTGCAAAGCCCTCTGTCTCATTCCCAGAGAATATACTTCTACAAGGCGTGGCTTCTACTTTCCAGCCTTGCTTATACCATGCTCTGCTGGGCTCCAGTGATGGAGGACTTCTCAAGAGTTTCTCTAATTTTCCATGATCCCTCCTGTCACAGGGCCTCTGCACATACTGGACAAATCTCTTCACGTATCTTGCCAAGTTAGTTCATACTCTTCCTCTTTCATATCTTAATAGCTCCCTCAGCAAAGCCCATTTATTCCCTAGTCTGAAGCAAGTTTCAAAAAAATGCATTCATAAAACTCTATTCCTTTCTTTTATAGAACACATCTCAGTTTATAATTATATACTCAATAGTGCAATTATTTGATGTCATTCTGAAAGCAGAAAGTTTCTTTTTACTTTTTTTTTAATCCTCAGACTTAGTGTAGTACCTGTCATAGGTGCTCAGTTGTACAGTTGTTGAGGCTGTGCCTGTACTTTTACTTGATATGGGTCTATTTACTAGCTTCTGTTGGACTGAAAACGAATCTAGATCAACTCATTCTTAGTCCCAAGAAAAAGCATTCAAAGGAATTTGGGTATAAAAGTTTTCATTAAGAAGCAATATTTTCAAAAGCAATTTTCATTTATTGAAAAGCTAGGGATGCCTCTTACCCTATCCAGAAATGTGTTATTATGGTCTATGCATTGAGATCAAAGTCTGTCCACTTTAAGCCAGGATCTGTTACATGGGCAGGGATCCACAGGCTCTGGATGGAAGGAGAGGATTCACCAGCAGGCACCATAGGGTTAGCAATGCCTTGCTCTGAGCTGGAGCTAAACATAAGGTTTTGGACCTGAGGTCCTGCAAATATCTGGCAACCAGGGCATACAAAACAAAGTCTTGCAAAGATTACACAACTCTAGAGCTGAAGGAAGAGTCTAGAATTGAGAAGATGGCCCAGATAATGAATTCAACAGAACACATTCCACCACTGTAACATTTGCCTTTTCTAGTTTCCTCGTCCTTTCAACAGTAATCATCTAATAAAAAAATTAATTAAAAAGACATCTTTTAATATAATATTGTATATAAGAAGCACTAAGCTAAAAAAGCAAATTATGTATATTCCCAGAGTTTCTATAATAGGTAAGCCTATGAATAAAACAGACTAAATATTAAAAAAAATTAATAATCATGATTGTGTCAGTCCCTGTTTATCAATTATCTACTTAGGAAGGCACTGGAGAGAGAGAGAGAGAGAGAGAGCGCGCGCGCGCGAGTGCGCGCGCGCGCACACACACACAATTATCACAATCTTCTTTGACAGAGCTCCTCTCTACAGATGACAAAATAGAAAATAGGGGCTTACGTCAGTTAGGAAATGTGAAAATTACACAGACAGAAAGAAGTGGAGCTGGGTGAGAGAACACCATGCTTACTCGACTCTAAAGCCTGAGTGCCCAACCATGATGCCAGTGTCACACGGAAGGCCAGTCCTGGAAGTCAGGACTTTTTCTAACCATATCTCCAGACCACTTGTCTTGCTATTGACTCAATACTGGACATATACTTTCTTCATAATTTAAATAAAGTTTTCAGTATCTGTGAACTCAAAGGATTGGTATGAGGGTGGTGTTTTCTAATACTCATCATAAGTACATAATTTTAAAAACAAAAAAAGTCTAAATATTACTTAAAAGCATCTTTTGGGAAACCAATTTTCTTCTGTCCCAAGACGTATTTCTGCTGCTTCCTTGGAGGATAAGAGGGGTAACAGAAAGGTGCTAAACCATGCAGGCTTCAAGTCATGCCTGGTTGGTATTTTCTGAGACTGTTTTGAAAAACGGCTGCCCCTAGCCCAGAGATGGCTACACTTCAGTGACAAGAGGCAAAGGGGTCCAAGTTTGTACAGTTTTAGTGCTCAGGTTGAAAAGTGCTATATAGATATCAGTTATCATCATCCTCATGATGACAATGATTATTTTACATATGGCTGCTTTAAGGGTGAACGGTACGGTCTCATTTGTATGCCAGCATCTGGCAGGCTGTCACACATCTGCAGAATAGAACCTAAACTGCACTATTAATATTTCCCCTTTGCATTCTCCCCAAGGTATCTCTCTCCCAAAATGCTTAAAGCAAACTTCCCTTCCCCCTTGAAGGCCTGGAGGCAAAATTCAGAGTACATGCCACCACCTAGGCTGGGGAGAGCAGAAGCTCAGTCTGACAGCCAGCTGAGCCTGAGCAGATTTCTGGCTCTTGGAATAGATGGAAAGAGGGAAAGGGAACCACCACCCACTCTCATTCTATTAGCAGCTGCACTGCCAGGCAAAATCTGTAGGCAGGTTCTCCTAGACCCAGACAGTATGTCACGTCTGTTCTGCGATCAACAAAAGATGCCAGTCACAGTCCTGATGGTCAGTTCTCAGGGTTTCCAAATATATCTCATAAGTGCCAGGACCTGATTAAAGAGGCCATGCCTAAAAGGTCTCTGGGGGCTGAGAATTCTTTGTGGTGGTGACTAGCTAGCTGTGAACTCAAACCAGGTCTTTTTCTTTTCCTTGCACACACAGCTAGAATATACTTCTTAGCCTACTTTGCAGTTAAAGGTGGTCACGTGGCTGCGTTTTAGCCAATGAGATGAATGCTGTTTTGAGGCCTGGTTTATAGGAACCTCTCCTATGTGGTCCCGTGCCACCTCCCCCTCTTGTTGTCTGCTATAGATAAACCCGGTGGCACTGTGGAGTTACAAGATGGAAGAGGCCCGAGGCTCCATGCTATTGATTGGATGCTGCTGCTGCTAATGGGGATCACCACTACTGGACTTGATGGGAGCAATAATCTTTTACGTGTTTGGACCATTATGGCGTTTAATTGATAACATTCTGAGCTTTCCCATAAACTTTTGCTAACTTAAAGTTAAATTTCCAGGTTAAATTTCATAGTCAGCTGCCTCCTGGATACCTCTAACTCTGATAACCTCCTTCTACCTTCCTATATGCAGAGGGCTCCCTATGCTGGAATACAGCAGTGGCTCAAACAAAGTCTCTGGTCCCATTGAATTTATATTCAAACACGGGGAAACTAAAATAATAAAAAATACAAGTAAAAAGGAATTTCAAATCCTGATAAGTACTATAAAGATAAGAGGGAGAGAGAGTTGCTYGTGATGCTTGGGAGATAGGGGGAGAAAGTGCCTCTGCCGAGATGACATTAGAATGAGGTCTGAATAATGACATGTAGCTAGCCTTGTGAACTGTGGGGGCAGAGCATGCATGGCAGAAAGAGGGAGCAGCAGATGCAAAGAATGGAAGAGCGAGGCTTACCCGGAACCGAGAAGTGGTTAGTCGGCTGAGACAGAGTTAATGAGGAAAGAGTGATATGATAGGTATCAAAGAGGGAGTCAGGGCCCAGATGGTGTGGAATCTGGCCTGGGTAAATAACTTGGATTTTATTTTAGGTTCAATAGAAAGCTGTTTTTAGCAGGGAGAGATTGATAGATGGATTACATGCTGAAAGGTCTACTCTGATTGATTTATGGAGCTTGTATAATTACAGGAGAGCAAGAAAGGAGGCCAGGGAAAATGGTAGAGTCACCCAGGTGAGTGGCTTATGCTAGCGGGGTATTAGGCCTGGGGAGGAGAGGGGGGAGTTGGTTGGAGGTATGTTAGCGGAAGCATCGACAGGGCTCATGGGCAGATTGGCTTGGGAGTGAGGGAGGCTGGGTACAGTCACCTAGCTGACTGGTGGAACCTTGAGCTGAGCTGGGACTTGGAGTGAGGGATCAGGTTTTGGCAGGGATGCAACACCTGGCAGGTACTCAATAAATGGCCCATTTTTTATGATCACATAAAAATTAAACAGGGCCCATATAGTGGGGTGAGAATTTTGTTCCAGATGCTCATACAGGAATTATCTTGACTTCTCTAAATTTCAGTTAAATAGGAGATAATAATACTGACATTATAGGGTTGTTACATCAAATATACCCTTGAGGGATAGAAACAGTAAGGAGGTATGATGATAGGGGCTTGAAGACTCCTGTAAAGGCTTTTTTTTTTTTAAATGTGGATGCTGGTTACAGGTGTGCAACCTGTGAAACTTCATCAAAGTGTATAAATTACAATATGCACACTTTTCTGTATGCATATTATAATTCAGTGGAGAGTTAAAAAGAGAGAGAGATGCTATGCTCAAAGGTCCTAGTTCAAGTACTGGGAATTCAATACACAGTAGCTGCTATTATTTTCACTGTTATGATACAACAGAAATCATCTGATGTGAACCTTTGGTCCTTGTTGTCCACAGAGACCACTTACGGATCCTTTAACAGAAGGCAGAGTCCTAACTGAACTCTAGGGTCTTAACTGTTGGTAAAGTCACATCTGATTTTACTGTGTGCCATACAAATGCCACTGCCTGAAGGAGTAGATCCAGAGTTCTAATCCAGAGCTAGTCCGGGGCCACTACTTGTCATTCAATAGTTTCCTAACTTGGTTAGGATGAAAGTCTCATAGATGACAATGTATTCTAAGAGGGACAAGTTCTGCCTCAGTGCTGGGTCTTGCCATTTCCCCCACCCCCAAGCCCACTCATACCTGGATACTCTTGACTCAGGCCAAATGGTTATTGGCTGCAAGGAAAGGATACTAAAACTTTGATTGGTTATTTCAAAGTTCCATAGGTTAATCCTCAGGTCATCAGCGGACATGTAGGTCTCATAGTCGCTGTTGACTGATATGGAGTTGATGTGATATGTATGTGCGTTGGCAAATACTCTTCGTGGGGTGGCCTCCACCATCAGGTCCATGGGTCTCAGGACAGGTACCTGGGATGCAAGAGAAACAAACCGCTTCAGAACCAAAGCTCTTCCCTGGGAAGACAGTGCACATATTTGTGGCCTTTGTTACCACAGGCAGTTAACCACAGTTGGGCCAGGCATGGTGGCACATGCCTTTAATCCCAACAGTTGAGGCAGGAAGATCACAAGTTCGAAGTCAGGTTCAGCAATGTAGTAAGGCTCTAAGCAACTCAGTGAGATCCTGTCTCAAAATAAAATATTTTAACAAGAGGCTAGGGATGTGGCTCAGTGATTAAGTGCTCCTGGGTTCAATCCCTAATTACCCCCCATCCCCCCTCCAAAAGTTAACCACAGTAAAGGTGCTTTAAGTTTGAGAAAACACATCTATTCCTGTTCACTTTGGGTCCTTTCAGCTATTCTTTTCTCAAAAGGGTTACACACCTGTAATCCCAGTGGCTTGGGAGGCTGAGGTAGGAGAATCATGAGTTCAAAGCCAGCCTCAGCAAAAGTGAGGCTGCTAAGCAACTCAGTGAGACCCTGTCTCTAAATAAAATACACAATAGGGCTGGGGATGTGGTTCAGTGGCCAAGTGCTCCTGAGTTCAAACCCTGGTACCAAAAAGAGTATTGCCATCACCTGGCCCTGATGGGATATTTCATTCATTAAAATTCTAAACTTTTTCCAGGACCTTCCAGGTGGCCTCKCCTCAGGGGAGCTTGGACTCCACCGTGGGGACATTGCCTTCCAGAGATATTATTCCAGTTTTATTTTCTTAAACATGAAATCTATTTTTATAAAGAAATTGTGGGGACATTTTAGAAATCTCATTCAACTTGAATCTTAATTTATCCTCATATCTTTTCATTTCTTGGCTTTGGAGGCCTAGATTCCCTCTTGGCTTTGTCCTCGATGATTAAGGGCATTTTGAAAAAACTTATCTCCCAAGACTCTACTAACCCCATTCAGCCATTAATATATAGGGTTCCAATTATGTCCTCATTACCCTGAGAAAATTTTGATTTATACTTATTGGCTTGGAATACCAATCAGGTAGCTTCCACTTTCATGTTCAAACCTGTGCCAGTTTGGACAGTCAAAAAAAATTTTTTTTCAGTGCTGGGGATTCAACCCAGGGGTGCTTTGCCACTGAGTCACATCCCCAGTTCTTTTTATTTTTTATTTTTTGAGACAGGGTCTTGCTGAGTTGCTCAGGCTGGCCTCAAAATGGTTATCTTCCTGCCTCAGCCTCCTGAATTGCTGGGATTATAGGTGTGCATCACTGCACCTGGCTGGACCATGAATCATATGGTCACTCTACTGATATGTAAAAAGTGYTCAGTAAGTATTTGCTGAATGTCTGACAAAATGCCAGTAAGTGTCTTCTTGGCAGGTCAGAGAATAAGGCAGTGATATAGTTTCTCACACATGAATCTCTCTAGAAAATATGAACAAAGACACAACACTTTGAGTTCTGGGTGAAATTGGCTCCTAAGAAAGTGAGCGAGAACACAGACAGACTAAACCACCACCACCAAACCCCACGGCACAGGTGCAGTCTCTTCACAGAAATAAGAAAATAAGGAACCCAAATCGATTTTTTTTTCCCCAGGCAAATCATCTCTTGCAACTGAGTCCTGGCTGATTTGACACCAGGTGGTAGATGAAGGCTTCAGCTTCTGCATTGGCTTTGATCCAGGTGGTGGGGAGAGACAGCCCCCACAAATGGCTAGATTTTGTGAAGTGCAGTCAGCTTACCAATCGACATAAATTCCAGAAGACCGCGTTCTGCCAGCTCAGTCTCCAGGGAGTTGAGCTCACATTTGATGGAGTTGTTGCACTAAATAAAAGACTTAGGAGGAAACCATTCTAGACAGATGTGGTGCTGGATGTCCTGAAAACCAGAGGCAGCTGTGGTGTGGATACGGAAGAATCAGGGGTCTGCCAAATGCCAGGAAAGGGAAGTGAGAGGGAGCCCCTGGAGTCCCACACTTCAGTGACGGACAGTGGTTCTGTGGCATAAGCCTGGGATGGCAGGATGGGAAGACCCAGGCTCTGAACACAGACAGGCTGTGGGACCATGGGCAGCTGACCTGCTCCTTCCGAGCTCTGGMTAGCCTACCCCAAAACAGCGACTGTTTTTGCTGTGCCTGCATTATCTCCTTTTGGGCATCTGGGATTGAACCCAGGGGAACTTAATCACTGAATTATAGCCCCCCCTGCCCCTTTTGACATTTTAATTCTGAGCCAGGGTCTTGCAAAGTTGCCTAGGGCCTTGATAAATTGCTGAGGCTGGTCTTGAACTTGTGATTCTCCTGCCTCAGCCTCCGAGTTGCTGGGATTATAGGCATGCACCACCTGCATTATCTCGAAAAGAGTGGTTGTGGGGATTAGAGATGAGTGTCCTTCCGTTCAACCTCTCGCTCACTATTTCAGCAACACCTGCTGAGAGCTTCGCAAAATTGTGGGGACTTGAATAATGAGCACGAGACACAAGTTCTGCCATCAACTAGTTCAGATTGACATGGATTAATAAAATGGGTTAAGTGCCCCCAAAGAGAGAATCTAGTGCTAAGAGAAGTTTAATGTGGTCAGGGAGGTGTAGAGAGCCTTTCATGAGAGTGCATGAAAAGGTGAGGATGTGAAGGATGAATCGAGGCTTAGCCAGGCCAGATGGGGAAGGAAGAATGTTCCAGTCAGAGAAATGGCAGGTACAAAGGCCCTGCAGTGGCTCATGGTACTGGAAGAGCAGCAAGCAGTTTTTGTGCCTAGAGAGGAGGGGAAGATGCTGGATCAGTAGTTGGGCTGGATTGAGGATTTTAGTGTGAAGGTGAGGAAAGGTGCCAATAGCTGCCCACTCCTAGCTGCCCTATTCCGCCTCTTTTCTGTTAAGAAATTGTGATCTTCTGGCACCTGCTCCCCTTCCGCTTCATTTCTTCAGCCTTCCACCTTCCTTCTCATTATCCTTCCTGCCTCTCTCCTCTTAAGAAAAACCAGATCATCTTTCACTTCCCAGAACCTATTTACTAACAGAATGAATGCTGCTGTCATTCAGCTTATTTGGTGACCACACCAGTGATTCTTCACAATCTTCCAGGGCACCTAAGTGGGGGGTTGGCAGGTCACAATGCCCTGCTTCAGAGACACACAAAAGCTGAGCAGAGCCCTGAAAAACAGGAAGCCCCGGAGGCTGCCCCCCTTTAAGAGACATCTGTGAACCACACAGCAGGGAGGGGCTGGGGAAGGACTCACTGCACCCCCCCTGATCGACTTTTCACAGAGGAAAAAAACAACAGCTGTGTTTACCATGGCAACCTCCAGCCCCCCATCACGTTGACAGATTCAAGGMAAGACTCAGAGGGAAGGGATGGTCAGAGAGGAGATAAAACACAGAAAGAAGACGAAGTCACGGAGGAGGGAGGAAGGGATTCGTTTGAAGGATGAGAATGGATTGAAGCCGCTGAGAAACTCGAGGTCAAATCTCATTGAGTTGAGCAGACCAATCTTACAGACTCGCTGGATACATGAAGGTTATGGGATGAGGTGGGTTTCATATCACCAGTTAGGAAGTGCATTTAGGGGCACTTTGACCACACACTGACCCCAGATAAAGCCCTCGGCAAATATTTATTGGGCATCTACTACAAGCTGGGTAGTTGCCACAGAGTGTCCTTGAGAAGGTTGGGGAGACCAACAATACACAGCTTCCTATTCCTTCTGCTTTATAATCAGCCCTTCTGGGAAGCAGAGACAATCAGGGATGTCTGATCTAGAAAAGGCAAATGAGAGCTCAAGTCCTGGTGTAACTCATGCTTGGTGGAAACAGATGTTGAGCCTGGTGCTCTGGGAAAACAGGTTTGAGACCCAGTGGAGGATCTAGAAGAGGCTGTCCTAAGTTATGAAAGGCTGTCTTCAAGTTCAACCCCTTTGCCTGTTCAATGGGCTTCCCTCAGGAAATACCCTCGGAGGCTCTCCAGGGACCATCACCATATATTTGGGATTTCCAACGGAAGAGGAACAAGTCACCTTGCAAAGGAGCATCATTAAATCATTCTGCAAACACCCTTATTCCAAAGCAGTTTGGCTCAATGGGATGGAGCAGCCATCTTCAGTCAGGACACTGGGTCCTTTGGAATAGGTGATGACTTCTCAGGCATTAGATCCAACAGTTTTAAAGGACACCATCCCTAACTACCATGTGTCTTCCAATCTAAAATCAGATTGTCTCAAGACATACCCACAACCTAGGTTCTCCTCCTCCCCTTGGCAAAACAAGAAATTGTGACTGTTAAGAAACCGTGGTCTTCTGGCACCTGTTCCCCTCCTCTCCATTCCTTTTGTAGACATACCTGTACCCACCCAGAATCTTAAGGTTCACAATGGGGACATAGACACTTCTGGGAGGGACACCTGCATAATCCCTTTAGCCAGGGACCCATAAATGCTCCCACCGCAGCTTATACATTTCTAATAAGATTTGATTTTGTATTTGGCATCTTTATTTGTTAGAATTATGTTTTCTTTGTTCTGGTGAATTGTGTTCTATCAATAATCACAGTAACAACCCAGAAGAAAATTTTAAATCCTAATAGTCATATATCCATAGGGGTAAAATCTTTCTTGTCTATATCTATATTCATTGTAGAAATGATAAAAAATGCTTTTTACATTTATTTGGGATTCATGTGGTAAAAATACTTAAAATCAGCATAATACAGTGATGCAGTTACAACAATGTTCATAGCAGCTCAATTCATGATAGCTAAACAGTGGAACCAACCTACATGACCTTCAACAGATGAATGGATAAAGAAACTGTATATACACACAATGCGATATTACTCAGCATTAAAAAAGAATAAAATTGTGGCATTTGCAGGTAAATGGATGGAGTTGGAGAATATCATGCTGAAGGAAGTAAGCCAATCCCAAAACCCAAAGGCTGGATGAATGGTCTCTCTGATAAGTGGATGCTGATCCATAACTGGGGTGGGGTATGTGTGGGGAGAATGGAGGAACTTTGGGAAAAG